CCTGAACTGCATAGCAAGACCCTGTCTCAAAAAGACAAAAAACAAACAAACAAACAAAAAAATCTCATCATTCATATTTCCCCAATAGCTAACATTTCCAGGCTCTTCTTTCCTTCCTTGAGATCAACATTTCCCTTCAGGATTTTAAAGAACATTTCTTATCATGTGGACCTGCTGACAGTACATTCTCTGCCTGAAAATGTCTTTATTCCTTGTATCACTGAAGGACATATTTACGGGAATTGAACTTGGGTTCTATAGTCTTTTCTTCCAGCATTTTCAAAGATGTACAGCTACGGACCACATACCGACATTTTGGTCAGCAATGGGCCACATAGACGACGATAGTCCCGTAAGATTATACTGCTCAGTGGCACCTTAGCAGTCTTGGTCTGTGTAGGTGCAGTCTGTGATGCTGGCACAGTGACAAAACTGTCCAATAGCACATGCAATTCATTGTTTCGTGTTGTTCTGTTTCTGTTAAGAAAGAAGCTAGCAGTCTTGTCACTGTGTATCATTTTTATTCTGGACAATTTTGAATGTGTGTATATATATATAGGTATGCGTGTGTGTGTGTGTGTGTGTGTGTGTGTGTGTGTGTGTGTGTATGAGAGACACGGGAGATGGAACCAGGCCTCTGACATGCCAGGCAAGTGCTCTATCACTGAGCCACGCCCCAACCCCCTCCAGATGCTTTCAGCATATCTTCTTTATATCTTTCTTCTGCTTTTTTAGGCATTTGATTAGGATGTAGCATCTTTATATTTTAACTCAATGTGTTTAAGCTTTGGAGAGTTATAGTTTTTTGGGGATTGGATAAAAACTATGGCCATTGCTCCTGTATGTTTTCCATCTCCTCCGCATTCTCGCTGTCCTTCCTGGGGAACTCTGGTTGAAAATATGTTAACTTGACAGATATTGTCCCACTAGTCATTCACACTTCATTCAGTTTTTTTAATATTGTGTTCTCAATTTGAATAAATTCTGTTTTCACATTCACTGATCTCTTCCACCATACCCAACCTATTTTAAGCTCACTTAGTACACTTTTACAGCTTTTGTGATGTGTAATTAACATATAATAAATCACACCTATTTCAAGTATAACCTTTGGCATGTGTATAACCATAAAAAATCACCAGGAGTAAGATAATGAATTTAGCTACCAAAAAGCTTCCCTGTGCTGCTATGAACTCCATTCCTCTCTCTCCCTCCCCATGGAGCTGCTTTCTGTCACTGTAGATTAGTTTGTGTTTCCTAGGACTTCACAAGGCTAAAAGTGTACAGTGGTACTCTTGCAGTAATTCTGCACTTTATCCATGTTGTTGCAAGCTTCCACCGTGTTCTCCTGTTCTTATTGATGAACGGTGTCTGTGACATGGATGTACCAGTTTGTTTATCCATTTACCTGTTCATGGACACTTGGGCTCTTTCCAGTTTCTGTTACACTCATGTACTGGTCTTCATGTAGATATGTGCTTGTATTTCTTTTGTGTAAGTCTGTAGGAGTGGAATGTCTGGATCTTTTACAGATGCCTGTTTAGATTTTTAAGCTACCACCAAACTCTTTTCCAAAGTGGTTTTTCCATATTTTACTTTCCCACCAGCAATGCATGAGAGTTCCAGTTGCTCCACGTCCTGGGTGATGCTTCATAAGGTCGGTCTTTTTAAAGGAATGAATGAACAGGGCTGTCATGATAAATATGTGGGCAAAAAAAATATGTGGGCAAATACTTGTGTACAATATTTTTCTTTAAGAATTCCTTTCTGTTATTGTAAGGAAGTATCTGAAGCTGGTTACTTATGAGGAAAGAGGTTTATTTAGCTTCCAGTTCTGGAGGTCCAAAGACATGACCCCTACATCAACTCAGCTCTGGTGAGCCCATCGTGGAGGGTGGAGTCACAGCGGTGGGGCTGTGTGAGGAGGAAAAGATCATATCTCCAGCTCACAGGCCAAGAGGCACAGGAGCTGGTAGGCTCATTTATGTATAACCACTGATCATGAGAATTGGGACAGGTCACATGTGAACTCCCGTTTCCCTTCCCAGGGCAGAGACCTCAAGGACTTCACTTCTGTCTCCTCTTCCTCCTCCTCCTCTTCCCCCACCTCTTAAAGGTCCTCCTCTCTGTCAACAGCACCAACTTCCCACACAAAGGGAGACTGCATTAAATTAAAGATTGTCACAATGCTAAGGCAACCTCTAAGCAAGAAGAGGCACAGCCAGGAAGCCAACAAGAGATAAAATGGAATAACAGACCACACTTGATCCAAAAGGAGGCAGAAAAAGAGGAAACAGGCAGTGAGAAATAAAGGGGACATTCACAATCAGCATGATTTAGCTGACATTTATAAAATACTTCACCCAAGGGCATCAGAACACACGTTCCTTTCCAACGCCCACAGAACCCATTCCAAGGGGAGTCATACTGCACACTGAGGAGCAGATCTCAGTAAATGTAAATGGATTCCCGTTATACACAGTATATTCTTGTATGGCATTAAGATAGAACAGTGTCTTCAAGATACTATACCTGGAAAATCCCATTAGTAATAGAAATGAAATAACACCCTTCAGTGATACATGGATCAGAGAAAAATTAAAAGGGAAATTAGAAAATAATTTGAAGTGAGCAGAAAGAAAAACATATCAACATATATAAGGTGCAGCTAATGAGGTATCTAAAGGAAATTTTATAGCAATAACTGCCATCAAAAAAAGAGAAAAAGTCTAAGGCAATTGACCTAAGTTTTCACCTGGAGAAACAATAAAGGGAGAGCATATTAAGCTCAGAGTAAAAAGAAATAAGGAAATAATAGGATTAAACTAGAAATAAACCATGGAAGAGAAGAGAGAGAAAGAGAGAGAGAGAGAGAGAGAAAGAGAGAGAGACTTAATTAAAGGAAAAGATTTTTCTTTGAGATGACCAATAAAGTTGTATTTTCTAGAAAACAGTTGTATTCCCACCAAATCTGAGTTACCTCCCAATGCCATGAATTTTGGGGGCAGGCAGTATTGGAGATTGAACCTAGGGCCATCACACTAAGCTACAGCCCCATCCCTCTTTTTATTTTTGAATTTGAGACAGGGTCTTGATAAGTCTCTAAGGTCCTCAGGCTGGGCTTGAACCTGCAGTCCTCTTGCTTCTGCCTTTGAGAGTCCCACAATCAAATGTTTTTTTTATCTTTATACTACGGTATCCAGAGTTTTTGTTATTATCTGGAGGGTTGGTATGATTCAAGACACCCCGCACTGGCTGTAACTGGAAGCTGTCCTGGAGCCATAGCTACGTTTCACACTATCTTTGTAACTCCATCTGCAGCCTTCCCTCCTACTTCTTTGCTATTTTCTAATTGTCTGTGATCCAGAGCACCAGACAATCACACTTATGGGAATCCCATACAAGCTAGGATAAATAGCTTCAGCAGCCTCTGAGGAACAAGATCTGTGGACTTCTGTTCACAAGCCTCTTTTGCTTGCTACCTGGAAGACAGTGTGATGTAATGAAATGGAAATAGCCACTGTGTGTAACTTGACTTTGGTTCAAATCCTGCCTCTGCCACTTGTTAGGGTCATGGCCTTGGAAAATGTACCTTACCTCTCTGGGCTCAATTTCCTCACCTGTGAAATGGGCTGGATACAGCTCTCCAGATTGCTGTAGGGATTGAAGGACATAATATAAGAACAGTGCTTTCTAACTCCTGACTCAGAGTAATGACTCTGTGCAAATGGCCTTCTCTCCCTTTATCTCCTCCCTCCTGCTCTGGACGCTGTCATCGGCAGATAATGTACTCCGTATCACTAAATTGGGATGCTTCAAGATATTAATATAGATGAGGGTAGTCAAAATATATGGTAAGTATTTAAATAAAAATTTTTTATTATAGTAAAGGATATATTGCCATTAATCTCCCTGAAAATATACACACTTACCTCAAACACACTTTCCCCAGTCTTCTTGCCACTTTTTTTTTTTTTTTTTTTTTTTGAGACGAGTTCTCGCTATGTAGTGCAGCCTGGCCTTGAACTCACTTACGTAGGCCAGGCTGGTCTTGAACTCATGGTGATCCTCCTGCCTCAGCCTTCTGAGTGCTGGGATTACAGGCATGCACTACCATGCCCAGCTCTTGCCACTTTCTGAATTAGCTCTAGAAGTCATCTTTTGTAAGTGTCTCTACCAGGGCATGTGTGGGGTGGGGGGACCCTGGTGAATGTTACTGCCACGTGCCCTCCAGGCAGGCTCATAAAAACATCAATGTCTGCACCTGCCTTATTCATCAGATTGAGCACCGTGCAGCTTCTGACTCTTCCCCAAAGTCAAAAGGACCATGCCAGGTAAACATTTGAAATCTATTCAGGACACTGAGACAGCCATAATAGTGCAACTAAAGACTCTCAGGAAAGAGGACTTCCAGAACTGCTCCAGAAAGTGGCAAGATGGGATTAGTTTGTTCAAAGGGAAAAGGAGTGTTTTGATGGGGATTAGTGTCAGTGTGCCTTTCACCATTTAAAACGTTTAAAAATTTAAACATTCACTGTATTTAAGCCAATTTGCTTTTTAATCTTTCTTTAATTGTGTGTATTCTAATAAATTATGAAGGCATTGGCGATTCTATCCAGTACTGCAAAAGTGTCCCGTACTTGTGCACACCTAGGGGGAGGCCAGAGATGGGTCCAAAGATAGAAACTAAGGGGTTTTGTTCAGGGGCTGGTAAGGTCCAGTCGTGTTCTTGGTGAGTCTGTGTAGCGGTGAGGACACACGGTCCGGCGTCCTGAACTCCAGCTCCGGGGCAGACGCGTGCACAACTCGCCTGCTTGGGGGAAGGTGGCCTGCAGCTGGCCCAGCCCATCCGGCAGTCTTCTGCTGAACAGCGGGCCCCCTCCGTGAAAGGAGCTCCAGCCCTCCCCGTTCTGCCTCACGTCTGTCTCCTCTCTCTCCTCCCCTGCCCAGAAAACTTCCTGTGAAGCCGAGCAGTGCGAAGCAGTCGCGGGTGACTCCTGGGCTGTTTTAAGCACTGTCTAAGACTGCTCAGACTTGTATAATGTTGCTAAGTAGCAGGATTAAAGGATTAAATTCTCTACATTCTAGAATCCAGGTTTGGAAACTTTTTGGAAAAGAAGGCTGCCTGGCTGCGGGAAGGAGCCTGTCCTATGAGGTGGGTGTCTTCAAGTGCTGGCCCGCAGCCCATGCATTGGGCCACTCTTCAGCTCTTCATTTCTCATTCACACATTCACTCATGCACACATGCATGCAAGTGTTGGTTCACTCATCAAACGGGTAATTCTTGAGCATCTGTTATGGCCCAGACACTGAGCCAGCTACTAGGTTTGCTAGGGCTGATGTGGTGGCCCTGCTTTGCTGGCTTAGTGTTGGTGTCTCTTTCTTCTGGCATCTGTAGCCTGATTTTGTTTAGGGGACAGCTGCACCCAATGGGTACATCTGTCATACAAGTGGGTCGGCCCTTCTGAGGCCCAGTGTGGCCAGTCAAGACTTTTCTCCCTGGAATTTGAACGCTGAGCAAGAGGATGACCAAGGGTTGCTGCTTGTTCATGACCCAGGACTGACAAGTCGCTCCCTATGGGCCCGCCACCTGATCCCTGGGGCTCTTGCACTCCACCCTGAATCTAGACTTTGGTTTTCATCCTAATTCTTTGAGCTCTCCAAATGTAATTGATTCTGTTTTGCCTAAGAAAACTGGTGTTTCTTTCCATTGTTGGTAACCCCAGCACTGTTCTCTCATCCTCAGAAGCTCATAGTCTAGTGGGAGAGACAGTAAACAAATTTTACGGGGTCAGGAAATCTGATAATGATCCTAGGTGGGCTCTGAGAGCCCCAAGGAGGGACCTGAATTAATTTCTCATCCTGAGATGTTGTAAACAGGAGCCCTGAAAGCCACCCCAGGGTTCTAGCTCTCCACCATTGTCTAAGAAGGCATCTCACAGACTGTGGCGTCAGTTACTATGGGCATGACTGTCCCCTGCAGTCTTTGACTTGACTGGACTCAGCTGGTTAGCTCACGCTGTTTACAGTCATAGCTCAGCAGGGCTGGAAGTATCTGAAGCCTTGGCTGTTGGGACATCCAAGATGGCGCCCACAGCAACAGGACAGGCTGGGTGTCACCAAAGCCCAGCTAAGGCTGTCGGTGGGAGCACTTGGAATTGGCCTCTCCAGGTGACTGATGAGAGTAAGAGAGAGAGAGAGAGAGAGAGAGAGAGAGAGAGAGAGAGTGAATTCCAAGATGAGCCAAGGAGACTTCAGTGGACACCACAAGTCTTCTTATGCTCTAGCCCCAGAAATCCTGGATTATCACAAATGCCACATTCTATGGGTCAGGCAAGTCACTAAGGCCAGCCCAGCACCAAGCTAGGGGTGGTGCAATTGGATTCTCCATCCTTACAGAAGAATGGAAAAGTTCTGCTACTGAAGAACATGTGGGACGGGCAGTGCTGCTGTGGCCATCTTTGGCACAGCCCATCTGTCTCGGTGGGCATCCCTCCTAGAACATTCCTTGGGTCACTAGCACATCCCACACAGGTGGCAGCTATTTGGTGTTTGATCTTGGTAACCAGATGTGACTGATTACTTTGGAAGTACCAGTCCTCGGTCTCCCGGCATCAGCGTGAAGCCCTGTCAACAGTACCGAGGGGCTGTGTGAACCTGGAACTCTGCTTTACCTCTCTGTCCATTTCCTCTTCTCTAAAACAACTGCTGGCCTGGGAGTAGTGTGAAAGTCAAGGGCAACCTAGCAGGTGAAGGAGCAATGTAAACTGTAAAGACTAGGGGCACAGGTATCAGATTCCGGTAATGAGGGTTCCAAGTGTGAAGTCCTCAGCTGTGCCGGGCTGCTCTACGCATTACGGTGCTGGCATTTCAGGTGCCATTGGAAGCGAGGAAACAAGCTCAAGTTGAATTTCTTACTCAAGTCACTTACAGGTGGGCCCCAAAGCTTGAGGGGTGGGGGCTGTTGCTATGGAAACCGGAAGCATTTGGGGATGGCTAAGAGCCCACAGATTCTGACAGCCCTGCTCTATAAATGTTGAAGGAAACAATGGTGGATGGACGGGTGAATGGGTGAATTAGCCAACAGCTTGACATTTTGCTTAGGATGTCTTCCAGACTTTTGAAAACCTCAACTGTCCCTCCTGTGATTCTTGCACTAGTTTCCTTCAGTTTAAAAGCAGGAAGTTTAGGGTAGGTGAGATTCAGGTTTGTTTCAGATTCAGCTGCCCTGGAGAACAAGCACGCCTGGCCTCTGTTTCTTTAGCACCTGGCTACACTCCTGTTACTTATTTACTTTTGCAGAGCTGGGGGTGGAACCCAGGGCCAGGCGCACTGGGCGGCCACACTTCCTTTAGGGCGCCCACCCAGCTCCCGGCCGAAGGCTCCTCCCTCCGCTTCCTTCCTCCAGGGTGCGGATCACGACACTGCGTTTGCTCTGTGAACTCCGCGTGGCCACACTTCCCAGGTGCCGCCCCACCTGCGACCTTGCTTCTTACTGCCCGGGGACCCTAGCGCCTTGAGCCGCGCCCAGCCCGGAGGAGCCTGGCCAGTAAGGGTTCGCCGCATGAATAAACAAGCGCACAAATGTTCCCAGTGAATGACTGGAGAACGCTCAAATCCTGTTCCGGTTCTGTGAAAAGCGAGCATTTGGCTTCGGCTGGGGGTTCGTTCCGCCTCGGCTTCCGGGGTCAGCTCCGGCCAGGGTTCTGTTGAGGAACGCGGGGTTTTGCTCCGGGTGGGGGTGCTCTAACAGAGAGGCGCCCGAAGTCTTTCTTTTTATAAACTGCCAGGACTGCGGCGCAGGGACAAGTGTCGCTGAAGCTGCAGCCGAGCCACCGGGCCGGGGGTGCGCGCAGCTCCGCCCCGAGCGCGACCCCCAGGGCGGGACCCCGGGCCGGGCCCTGAGCCGCGGGCTGTGCGCAGTGCGCTGACCGGACCGGCCACCGAGGTCCCCGCGGCCACCAGCCCAGCGCTGAGCCGGAGGTTCTGAGGCCTCTTTGTTCTGAGGATCGTGGGGGCGTTGCTTAGCCGCCCTCACAAGTATTCAAAGCCTCCCTGAACCTGAGCGTGGAAAAAACCTGCCTGGCCACCCCTGCCAGAGTCAGGCTGGACGGCCAAGGAGGGCAGACCGAGGCAGGCGACTCTGTGGGCTCCTGGCTGGAGCGCTTGAGGGCATCGGGGGTTCCCACGCTGTACCAGCAGCTCCGCCCACACAGACCCGGAAGTCTTTTTTCAGATAGGGGAAATCGAGGCTCGGAGAGTACAGAGCGCTTGCTGGAGGCTGGCAAAACTGGGAACTGGAAAGCCCCAAATGCACAGAGTGTAAATGATACGACTGTGAACCTCGCGGAGATTAGGAAGGCTAGTTGTTTGTTTTGGAAAGCAAAGTTGCTTGTGGTTTGTTTTGATTGGGGGGAGGGCTCTGCAGGAAGTGCATCAGTAATGCGAGAAATATGGCCATGGGATCTGACACTTCCCGGCTCAAATTCTAGCTGGCTTTTGCTATGGCTGTGTGACCCTGGGCACCCCCTGACCTCTCTGGGCCTTGCGCATAATGGTACCTATTTGTGAGCTGCTTGTGAGAGAATACAGCGTACTGGGACCCTCGGAGCTGTGATGGGTGTAGGCTTCAACAGAGCCAGGCCGCCGGCATTTCCCACGCGGGGCTCAGTTTCCTGCCCTGTACAATGTCAGGAAGTATAGTTGGGCCCAAGCAGGTGTCTCCCTGTGGCACCATGGCTGCCTGGGCTGTGTGGTGTCTGATGGGGCCGTCCTGTACCTACCTCTGTACCCGCTCTGGCATCTGCACACCTCATGCAGCAGCACCCCGTTTCCCAGTTGTGGTTATGAAAACACATGTCCAGACCTTGCCCTATGTTCCCCGGAGCGGGAGAGGAGGAAGCAGCACCCACTGTCTGCCTGGTGCCCCCCTGGGCTTGTGGGCAGCGGGGCCTGCTCACCGGGCCTCAGCTTCCCGTTGGGGGCACCCAGGTGTCCGCAGTGACACGGAGACGGCCCACGCGTCACGGATTCATCCAGTCCTGCTCCATGCTAGACCCTGGAGGTGGTCCTGAGATCCAAGCCGGGGCGTCACCTCCTCCAGGGCGCCACCAGCATGATTGTTCACAAGACTGAGGCTTGATGAGAGATGGTGAATGATTTGCCCAGGGTCATGCTGCCACTTACAGCCAGTCCCTTCTTACCAGGGCCTTTTGGAGGTGCTGCCGGTTGCATGATAGCCACCCTAGTTCTCCAAGGACAGCCTGGATCCCAGGGGACGGGCAGCCCTCCGGAAGAACAGGCTGTGAGGCCATGTGTGCAGAAGGAGCCTAAGCTTCAGAATTGGAAAGACCGGAGCTCTGTAGAAGCCCTATGCTCTGATACAGATTGAATGAGTCACCTCTGAGCCTTGCCTTTGTATCTGTAAAGTGGGAATAACTACACCTAACCCAGAGGGCTCCTGTTTTGGCGAGGCCAGCGGTGAAAGCCCTCAGCTGCATCGTAGGCGCTCAAGCATCTGGAAGGGTGACTGCTGCTGTCATCCCTAAGGAAGCAGGAAGGCACCCAGGGACCGACGGGACCACCTGCAAACAGCTGGGCCACCAGAGAGAGACGGCCGCAGGGTGCAGAGCAGCGGCACCTCCTGGGGCATTCCTGGACTGGGATGCCAGCCACACTAAGAGCAGTGGCGGACAGTGCCCGCTCCTGGAGTCTCCAGAGTCCAGAGCTTGGCTACTTGGCCTCTCTGAGCTGCCTGGGGCCGGCTGGCACCTCCGTCAGCCTGTTTGACAGATCCTTTTGGCCAAGAAGCCACTCACCACGATTGTCCCAGAGCTGGTGCCGTTCTCAGGGGAATCGTTTTGAGGCTGAAGGAGCCGCCCTCCCCATATCCTGCTGAGGCCTGGCTTTCTGGGTCCAGCCAGGTTCTTCCATTTCTTGGCCTTAACTCTAGCGTCTTCCTTTTGGGGAATCAGATAAGCTGAGAGGTTACTGGAAACATGCCCGCGATGTGCTGGCTCCAGTGGGGGAAGGTAGCTCTTTGTGCAAGGCAGACAGTAGCCTCCACGGCACCCTGTCCCTTGGGTTGGAGTTTCATGCTTCTCAGCAGAATCCTGCCCTCCTCGGAGCAGAGAGAGCTCCTCTCCCTGCAAGCAG